ACGGGTCTTGGTTTCCTTCCCATAACAAGATCGCCAGGCGATCACAGATTATTCGTAGGGGCACGAATGACATTGCGAATTTAGTAAGCATGCGGACATTAAAGCGAGTTAATCTGAGCCCCGTAATTGTCTCAAGGATTCTCGTAAGTGCAAAACTCTTAGAACTGGAGAATACGCTACCCATTTAACTTTAAGAAAACATCATTTGCTACAGAGAAATGTGATACATTTTTTGCTCGTGAACTGTTTGTGAGGAAGTTGTACAAGTCCCGAGGGTGCGTGGAAAAGTACCCGCCAGGCAAGTGGAGCGTACGGGTATACGGAAGTATGCTTAACTAGAAGCCAGCATGCCACCAGAAAGAAAGAAACTTAAGCTTAATTTGGGTGTCAAGCAGCGGCGCCTTGGGAATCTTTGTGTGTTTGAAGGTTTACCTTAAGGTAAATAGCTTATTGCTGTTGACTTGGGTACATTTTGCGGAGCGGCTTACAAGGACAGAACCGACATTTTCCTAGTTCCTAATACCGCACGAAAATCGCAAAGTTTGTCATGGAGTTTGGAGATTCTAATGTCACGAATTCTGGCTTTCATGGGAAGGCAGATAAAAGCGACAGAAAAAAAGGCAATTTAACAACGCAGTAATTGAAATTTACAAGATATACGCTGGTTACTAACATAAAAAGGAGACGGAGGACTTTATATAGGCCTGGGACTCCGTTCAGGAGGAACTGTCTGTAATAAGACATACTACCAAGATTTGTAGGTGTGTGTCATGAAAGACTGCTTAATTGTGGAACTGAGGAGCATGAAACAGGTTCAAAAAGAACACTACATATGCGCATTTAATCTGTTGTTGCTCCAGGGAGGTGAGTTCAATTCCTGTACAAATTGGCGGACCCCACAGTCAATTATTTCGGCTTGGCCACCTCTTCTTTGTTCATTTCAAAAAGACGCAGGGTGAGACGTTGGTTCATTTTGGCAAACTTCTGTGAGCATTTCTCAATGCAATCAAGCTGAAAATGAAAAAAAAAGACATTGCAATGGAAGCCAGTGTGTACTCGTATTAAGGCGACTATTACTTCTTCATAGTAAAAAAAAACGTACCTTTATTATGCATTCTATAGCCTTGACATGTAAAAAGGAGAATATTATAGAGGATCACCAAGGATTCAGTTAAGCAGTCCGACTTGAATATGGATTTGGGACGAGCGATTGTATTTAGGTAAGAATGTAAGACAATGAGTATGTCGAGAGCCTGAATGCAAATTATTCATACCCGGAGGACAGAGATATCATCTAATCAACGTCCGTTGTATGTGATACGATTAGTTCAGGAAAATAAAGACGGCTGTTGCCTATATACTAAGACGAAGTTTAACCCGGGAACGAAAAGGGACATTAGTTAGTACACATAACCAGTACTCGTGTAAAAAGAGAAAATTCGAGGGTGTGTATGCTGAATTCGTGCAAAATTAAAGCGTCTTTAATCACGAACTAATACGATAGCTCGGGGTAGAATGTGTCCTTTCGGGTAGTAGGAAAATATTTTGCGTAAAGCGGTTACAGAAGAAGCATTTGTTTCCCTAACGACAGCGCCCAGAGGCTATGGGGGGTCAACAACAGGTGATGGTAGCAGTGCTGATGGGCAAATTACTGGTGGACT